TTTACCACCCGCTCATCTCCCCAGCTCTGTGGCCGGCCTTCTTAAGGAAAGGGTCTTGGGGTAACAGTAACATGGGCTGCATTTCTTGACACTGAGTGTCTAGGGAGCCAAAGGCATCAGGAGATGCATTACTGAATGCTCTTGAAGCAGCTGGGCTTCACAGCATAGTCCTCTGCCTCAGGACATACGTCAGTGAAAGCTCCTGACACATCCTAGCCTGCTTCTCCCCATTCACATCTTCTAGGGACCTGAGTACTAGAAGGCATGGAAATGTCTCCAGCAGATGTTGGTTCTCCAGATATTCACTTGACCAAATGCCCTATGCTTTTACTGTTTTCATGCAAAAGCAAGCTCTTGTCTCAGGTTCAGAATTTCTTGCATAGTCTCTCCCTCTTCTTCTTTCTACTCCTCACCCCTACTCGTGTGTGTGTGTGTGTGTGTGTGTGTGTGTGTGTGTGTAGGGTTCTTCATATGTCACGGATCTAGTGATCCAGTACACAGCTTTATTCAATGAAAAGCATATCATGAAATGCCAAAGTGGCTTCTTTAGGCTAAAATGACAGGGGTTGACTCTAAAGTTATCACTTGTGCACCCTCAAGAGCTCACACACATCTTCAAGAGGCTCTAAAGCTCCTTCATGAGGAGCTGATCTCAGGCTCAGGGAGGACGCTACTGGGTCCCTCCACCTCAACAGTCAAGTGCTCGTTAACACCTGTGCATAATGACCATGATATGGTTCTTCTTGTACTCTGAACACTTTACCTCACAGTCAGAACTAGGTGTCTGGAATCGTGGGTGCACTGTGGTGCAACCCTCACTCATCCACTTAATAAGTCTCTCCTGCTGGAGCTTGAGCATGTGACCTTCAAGAAACCTACTCACCCCCATGTCCTGTCTCAAGCACCTAGCTCACAGAGTGAGTGATTTCATTCAGTTAGTCCGACTAAGCAGCTGCCTGTAGTATGCTTAAGTCTGGAGATAGTCTATAGCTCAGGGTGGCCTCGAACTCACTATGTAGTGAGTTGTCCTAGAAGTCCTTATAACCCTCTTGTTCCAACTTGTGGAGTGCTGAATTTATAGACATGAACCCAGCTTCATCTTTTGAAATGAGACTCATTTAGTAACTGGTTTATTGTTATTTTTAAAAAAGGCATTTTGTTTATTAAACTTTATCTTAGAGATATTTCATCCATGCTGTTTGGCATTCAAGGCTGCTTTCTTTTTCTTTTAACTTTAGTTTTTAAAGGTTTATTTACTTATTATGTATAGAGTGTTCTGCCTACATGTATTCCCGTATACTAGAAGAGGGCACTAGATCTGTATCTCATTACAGATGGCTCATTACAGATGGTTGTGAGCTACCATGTGGGTGCTGGGAATTGAACTCAGGACCTCTGGAAGAGCAGCCAGTGCTATTAACCTCTGAGCCATGTCTCCAGCCCCTTCATTTTATTTTTATGTATATGGGTGTTTTAACTGCATATAGCTCTGTGCACAGTATGAGTGGAGTACCTGCAGAGGTCAGGAGAGGGCACTGGATCCCCCAGAGCTGAAGACAGACAGTCATTAGCCACTGTATGGATGCTGGGAATTGAACCTGGGTCTTCTGGAAGAGCAGTCAGTGCTGTTAACCACTGAGCCATCTCTCCAGCCTCAGCTAGGCTCTTTTCTAAGGTGTCCAGTCCTAATGCACACAGTCCTGCAGGCCGCCTTTCTGATGCTTGGAAGCCATATTGTTACTTGATTGCTGTTGAAGCCATATTGTTACTTGATTGCCTTTCCGCTTCTGTTTGATAGGTGCTGGCCATACCTTAAGAGTTACGTATTAGATTGTTCCAAGTCCCTGGAGGCTCATCCACCGCTTATCCCCAGCACACAGAGAGCAGCTCCAGTCGGATCCCAACACTTGAAGTTCCCCAGTCAGCTAGCTTTGGGTTCCACTGGCCTGGTTTATGGCTAGTGTGTCTGGGGATGGGGCTGCTTTTTCATTTCCTCTTTCTTTGGAAATAGGATATGGAGTCAGTCTGGTCTGCAGGGTAGCCTCAGCAGCAGTTTCTCAGCCTGCTTCCTGAGAGGGAAGTGCTTTGGGGTCCACATCTGCTTGAGAGGAGAATCCGCTGTCCCCTCATGGTGGGGTCTGGCCCGAGCTCTGGTTTCTTGGTCCCCTTTCAGGAAACCACACACCTACAAAGTCCCAGAGTGCATGAGTGGCAGTTGGAGACAGCTGTAGACACATGGTGAGATTGCCCCAGGATCCATCTACTGTCAGACCTCCAGTCCTTACAGGCTCTTCCCCAGCCACCTTCACGCAGCATGGACCTTCCACAGGAACCATTTTCTCCCTCTCTGTGTGCACTGGCTGGTTTTTGTGTCAACTTGACGCAAGCTAGAGTTATAAGAGGGAAAGGAACCTCAGTTGAAGAAACGCCTCCATGATATCCAGCTGTAGGTCATTTCCGGAATTAGTGATTAATGGGGGAAGCCCCGCCCATGTGGGTGGTGCGGTCCTTGGGCTCCTGGTCCTGGGTTCTGTAAGAAAGCAGTCTGAAGAAGCCAGGAGAAGCAAGCCAGTAAGCAGCTCCCCTCCATGGCTTCCGCCTCAGCTCCTGCCTCTAGGTTTCTGCCCTGTTTGAATTCCTGTCCTGACTTCATTCAGTGCTGAACAGCAATGCAAAACTGTAAGGCAAATAAACACTTTCCTCCACAACTTGCTTTATGGTCATGGTGTTTCCTCAGAGCAATAGAAACCATAGCTAAGACACTCTCTCTTCTTTCTCCCTTCATGTTTCTTCTCCCCTCCGTTTTCTATGCTTGCCTTCCTTTCTTCCTTTTTTCCTTCCTTCTTTCCTTCCTTCTCTCCCTTTTCCTTACTTTCTTACCTCCTTTTTTATTTCTGGCAGGATGGTTCTAGCTAACCTAGTGTACCAGTCTTAGAAATGAGGCTTAAAAAAGAGATAGAAAAGAAAATTAATTTAGAAACAGAAAGCCAGAGCCAGGGAGAAGGCTCAGTCTGTAAAGGTGGTTGCTGTGGAACACTGGTGGCCTGAGTTCAATCCCTCCTAAAGGTGGAAGGAGAGAGCTGATTCCATTAGGCTCTCCTCTGACCTCCCACAAACACCATGGTGTGATACCCTATCATGCCTTTCCGCTTATTTTAAAGTTATCAGTCCAGGTAGAAAACATAGATCACAGACATATAAGACATTGTTCAAATAGTCTCTATCAGAAGGTCTCCAGAGGAACAAGCTCCCCAAGAAATCTGTTCATGAGCAATCCTGGCCCAGCTGCACTTACTCACAATGACAGTCCCTACTCAAATTGACACAGCCTCCGGGACTTGAGCTTGATCTCAAAGTCTTGAGACAGATAGCTTCAGAAAGAGTTGGAGCCAGGAGCTCTGGTGTTGGGGGATATTTGTTTACACCGTGTGAAAGATGTGTCACTGTGGTTGGTTTAATAAAGATCTGAATGGTCAATAGGTAGGCAGGAGGTATAGGCGGGCCTTCAGGAGAAAGAGAGGAATCTAGGCAGGTGCAGGAGATGCCAACGACACAGAGCAAGTTGGAAATACAAAATGGAGGGGAGGTGAAAAGCCAAATGGCAGAATGTGGATTAATAGAAATAGGTCAGTTCAGGTTATATAAGCTGGCTGGAAACAAGCCTGAGCTAAAGATCAAGCTTTTATAATTAACAATAAGTCTCTATGTCATTATTTGGGGCTGGTGGCCAAAAAGAAATTCTTTCTACACTCTGGCATCATTATTAAACGTGGGGTCTGTCTCCTCTAACTTCCTGGGTGAGCTCCAGCCCCTGGAAGCTCTCACCTATGGTGGCAAGTTTCCCCCTTGGAATGCCAAACTCACAGCCACAGCCCACTCTTTTAGCCTATGATCTCTGATCTTTGTTGACTCTGTCCCAACAGTAAAAGTTTATCACAATATTCCTATTATGATCATACTGACTGCATGCTACTATTAGATATACTTTACAATTGTTCTATTGTGCTATAAATATAATTTACATTAATTTTGTGTTATATATGTTCTATGCTATATTAACTAATAATGACATTCATGTTTTTAGTTTTAGGGTTACAGGTGCAAGCATTAATAATTTCCGTAACTGCCGGCATATTTTGCACTCCTCACTTTGGAGACTTAACTAAAAATCATGCATCTCATCAGTTATGGTTATAGTTATGTGACCACTTCTTATTGGTTTTCCCTGGCCTTGGTGAATCACATGACTAGCCATTAGTTTGGAGTTGATGAACCAAGTGGACAAAAACATGGCTGGATGTAAACATGGAGCTGCCATTCTAGCTTTCTCAAGCTGTTTACATTTTGGAATTAAATGTGTATTCTTTAACAATTTCATGCATGTATATAATGCGTTACTATCCTATCCATCCCCCAACACTCTCTTCTCGAGTCTTGTAATCACTGATATTTATCCATAAGTGGAGGACATAATCCTTCTCAGACTTATAAAGATTCTCTAATTCCTTAACAATTTGATTCTGTTTATCCAAATCAAGTGTCAGTCACTTAAAGATTCTCTAATTCCTTAACAATTTGATTCTGTTTATCCACATCAAGTGTCAGTCACTTCAAACCCAAAGTGTCATGACAGATTCCCATCTTTTTTTTTTTTTTTTTTTTTTTTTTTTTGGTATAACAGCTCACACAAAGAGAGACTCTCTTTCATGCTCTCACTTCAGCCTTACACTCACACACTTCCTTATAACTCTTTAGCAACGGGGGCGCTGTGTATGAAGATGTAGGAAATGACAGGCAAAGTTTTTCATTCTGATAGTAGGCATTTTGAGTGAGATGGGTGGTTATATTCAAAGGCAGGCAACAAAGGAGTGGGACCTTCTTTTGGGTTTCTACGGGCAGGAGGTTCACTGGTCTGAGAGCCTGTGAGCAGGAAGTGCAGGCCAGGAGTACCGTGGGAAACAGGCTGTTCCGGGGTGTTTAAAAACTGTCTTCTGTGGCAGAAGTGCAACGGCATCTCTTGATTCTGAGGTGAAGGAAGCATGTCTGAGGGAAGACCTGAAGTTCTACTTCATGAATCCCTGTGAGAAATACCGAGCCCGACGCCAGATCCCGTGGAAGCTTGGCTTGCAGATCCTGAAGATAGCCATGGTAACCACACAGGTAACTGGCACAATTACCCCTTCCTTCCCTGAGATCAACCCAAGCTCTGCAAGCCTCACACTGAAATTCATGAAAGTGAAATGAAGTCACCCCCAGAGGGTAGAGGGCAGGGTGAAGTTCAGTTCAGATGACCTGTGGCGATTCATTATTCATGACTTAATAAAGCTTGCCTGAGGGTCCAGAAAGCAAGGCTAGTCACAAGGCAGCTTGAAGCTTGAACCCCAATATCAATCTCTGAGTTTTTATTTCTCATGTTATCCTGCCTGGTTTCAATAAGTTCATAGGCCATCACTCCACAGCAGCTGTGAAAAAACACAAGAAGATCCATGCGGAAGGGAGTTTTTCACTCCCTAATCCATGTGTGGTGCACAGGCTGCCAAGGTGGTCTCAGAAATGCATCATACTTTATTTGCTATGTTTTTGAAAGTCTTCAGACATAGAAAATGCTAAGTTCTTCTAATCAGTAACATTGTGCCTCAAATAAGTGCTGACTACCAGGTACTATGAAGAATGCCTGAGTGTTAACCCGTGGACCTTGATGTAAAGTTGTACTGCAGATCACTTTATCACCAGACCTGTGGCACCGACCTCATCTGTGGTGACTTCTCTGTCATCAACTACATTTGAACATACATGTCTAAAAAACATAACAAAGCAAACAAAACAACAACAACAACAAACAACAAAAATCGGTACTGACTTGGAGTCTTAGCTCTACTGGTACATAATCTACTGGTACCATCCATCCAAAAGCGTATAAGGATGGTTTTTGTGGAAGGTAATATAAAGAAGGTAAGGAATGACTCCATTTGGAAATGAGAGGACCTCAGCTGAAGGTACAGTTGCAACTCTACTCTGAGTTCATAAAGGGACCTTTGAGTTGTGTGATGTGCTGTCCCTGTCTGCATCAATTACTTTATTTTTAATAATAAACTAATTCTGGGAACCGATAATTTTCTTTTTGTGTGTCTTTCTGTTACTCCACTAATACAATCTTACAAGTTACAGTCTATTCCTGTCACAATCTTACTCCTGTGTAGCCTTATTCTACCTAGCTGTAGATGGCTGGCTCACTTTCTCTTATATCGACCCCAATTTTCCTTTCTCCTCATTCCATGTCTTATTCTAATCTGGGGAGTCTGAGGAGATGGGAGGCATTTAGTCAAGGGTTCAGAGTAGGAAACGTTTTAAAAAAGGAGCTAACTCTGTTGTGCAGAGATTTAAGACCTTTTTTCCCTAAGTTCCAATCTTTCCATCCCATGTCCATACACCAATGAGTGTCATCTTGCTTTTACTGGGTACAGTATGTTTTCTCCTACACTGATTTCATAATGATGGCTTTGATTCCCAAGCTTTGCCAGACTATATTTAATGAGTAGTGTGTGTGTGTGTGTGTGTGTGTGTGTGTGTGTGTGTGTGTCTGTGTCTGTGCCTGTGTTTTGTATCTTGTTCACAGCAAATCTTGACATCTAGTTAGTGGTATGGGATGCAGCTTCTTGCTGCCACTTGCTTTTTTAAAATAAAGTTTTAGTCCTCACTGTCCTCCCTGCATCTGCTGCACAGGAAAGGTTGGTTATGTCAAGGCCAGAGACGATGCCATTTCCCTCTCATGATCATCTCTCCTAAGGGTTTTGGCAATTTTAGTCCCTCCTGATGATGCTGGACAGTGCATAGGGACATTGGCTTGTTCTAGGAGCAAGAGAATTGCGAAAATGTCCTGCTCTTCATCCCAGATGCAGGATCCAGGCAGAGGTCACAATCCGCTGTCTATTCATCCCAGAATTGTGTTGATGGCTCGAAGTTTAAATAAGGCAGTGGCTTTAAATATCAATTGAGTGTATGCCCTATTCTTGATCAGATTGTCAGTCCCTTGCTCAGGTACTTACTTTGTGGTCCTTTGAGTTTGCTGTGAGGGTAGGAAGGGAGGGCCTAACACCCCTGTGTCTAGAGTCAGGTGGCAATGTTTGCTCCAAGAGTGTGACAAAGTGGTTGAGAGGACAAATAGGCCTCAGTATTAGGCAAATCTGTGTTCAGACCCTTAGGCACTTGCATGAGTATACGGCCTGACTTCAGGTTGTACATGTGTACAATGGTGTTACATTCATCACTCAACCTGGGTACACATTCCATTTCTAATTCAATGGTGCTATGAAAACAAACAAACAAACAAACAAAGCCTCTTCCTCATGGAGTACAGATTAATGGGGGGATTAAATGAAAAGTCATTATACATTTTTTCAAACCACAATCCTTGGTACTCTGCGATGAGTTATTATTCAGCGAGCTGTGCAACCTTACTCTTACCCTACCCCAGTTTGGGGAGGGGCCATTCTGTACACGATGATTGAAGAGTTTCATTCAAGGGGCTCCTGCTCAGGCTGTGGGGGGGGTGGCTAGCCTCTTCTAAGTCTTCCAAACAGTCCTGTGTGTTGCTTCCTAGTTTATTTTCTCAGCTTAAAAAAAAAAAACAACCCGACCTCTCCTCGCCTCCCTTGCAGGAGATATCAGCACTGACAGACATCACCTGCCTGGAGAATCTGACTTTAGCTTTTCCCATTTCCAGCTCAGGTTGGAATAGACTTGGGTATCCTATGTGATGTTCTCCTTAGAGAAGCTGTGTTTGTAACATTAATCATTGGTATTTGAGGGATGTGACATGGTGGTATTAAGTGATCAAAGAGTATCATCTGTACACATTCTCAAGCCATGGTTGTTTTTATAGTTCTGAAAAGCTAGAACTAAAAAATCTGTTTCTATGAGAAGTTTACCAGACTTTTTGAAGACTTTTTTTTTTTTTTTTTTTTTTTTTGTAGACAGGCGTTGTTCAAGTAGCATGATAAAGAGCTTTGGAACTAAGCTTGGCTTCCGTTCTGGCTAGGTAGCTGGATGAAATTTCAAGAAAGCGAATCCAGCTAACATGGGTGTAAAGTACGGGCTGTGGCAATGGCTGGCGACAACAGGGGCTGGCTGTAGTGATGGACAAGATAAAGCAATGAACCTGTTAGTGTGGGGCCTGGCCTATGGCAGGTGCTGAACACAATGAGACTAATTGTTTTTTAATTATTTAGTCTGTCTAGGTAAACTAAACACATTACCATATTCAGCACTAATTGGATTCAGTGGGTTAAAATTTTAAAAAGGACAAAATAATAGCTCAGTGGGTAAAGCGCCCGTGTGTAACTCCTTCGACCAGGGCTCAGATTGGAAGTGTGCATGTAAAGGCAGGCATAGCAGCCTGCCTGCAACCTCTCTGCTGTGGGAAGTAGAGACAAGGGTTCCTCAGATCAAGCTGGCTAGTTAGACTAACTAAACCGCAAACTCTGGGTTCAAGTTAAAGACTCCAATAGAAGATGGAGAATGATCAAGAAAAACCCCCAATGTCAACTTCCAGGTCTCCACACACATATATGCCCATACACACATGTTAACATGTATATGAACTGGCATACACAGGAAGACATGTTAAAAGCCCAACCAGACAAAATACAAAAATTAAGTCTGTAAACAGCTGGGAAGTCCTCATGTGAATTTCATTAGTCTCCGTGCCTGACTGTTTGATTTGTACATTGTTCTGTGTATTTATAGCATGCTGAGTAACACAGGATATTATAGAACCGCCAGGGACACCCAGTCCATTTTCCTGAGTTCACTCTGTGTGCTAGATGTGTGTGTGTGTATGCATGTGTGTGTGCACGTGTGCGCGCGCGCGTGTATGTGCGTGTGTGTGTTTATGTAGCTTTGAATGAGAGTGTGCCATGTGCGACAGGTACAGGGGTGAAGGCATGCACTGCAGGCATGTGCACATATGCACAATGTGTGTGAAGGGGGATCATGCCTGCTATAGTTTGTGCATGGGTATAACATGTGCAGCTTCCTGGTTTCTTATAGACCTTTGGTGTTAGCTGTTTCCCTATTATGGAGTCTAACAGGAAAACTGTTGCTCTTGGTAAAGAGAGCCCTTTGAGTATTTAACTGTGTGTTTGGGGAGGGGGCTGTTGAGAAAGGGTCTCATTATACAACCTGGCTGGCCTTGAACCCATGGCAAGCCTTCTTTTGCCTCCTCAGGGTTGGCATTGCAGGAGTGGTCACTGTGCGGGGCAGTAAGTGATTTTAAGGGAGCAGAGATCCTTATGAGTAGAAAGCAGCCAGCAGCAAAGTCCTGGGTGCTGTGTCAACCGTCTCTTCTATGAGTCAGTTCTCCTGCCCTGCTTGATGGGACAGAGAAGCATGTGACGGTTCTGCTTCTCTGAGGGTACTTCTGTTAGCTTAAGGAACCCCAGAGAAAGTCTCCGGGGAGCCAGGGGGTCTGCTGTGTCCCATCCCTATTCTCTGGGACGTATTCTCAGTCTCAACACACTCTTGTACCAAGAGTTGCTGACGTAGTGCCAGAGGTGGTCCTCTTTCATGCTCTTACTGTGTAAATCAAGGGATGAATATTTTTCTTCAGATGCGTAGAGGTGAGAATTGCTGGGAGTCAGAAGGCATTTTCTTTCTCTGGCAAATGGTAAAAGCCACATTCCCGTGTTTTCTTTTATAGCTTGTTCGGTTTGGCTTAGGTAACCAGTTGGTGGTGGCTTTCAAAGAAGATAACACTCTTGCTTTTAAGCACCTGTTTTTGAAAGGATTTTCTGGAATTGATGAAGACGACTACAGCTGTAGCGTATACACGCAAGAGGACGCCTACGAGAGCATCTTTTTTGCTATAAAGCAGGCAAGTGTTTTAAATGACCTGCCTTGAAAGACTGTATTGCTAAGTGGCTGTGTTGTCTTAGCAAACTAACAAACATGTCTCATGTAAATTTTGCATAGCTTGCCAACATCTTTACTGCTACTTCAAGCACTAATAACAGAACTCACCCACTGAAAGTTTTTCTTTAGGTTTTATTTTTTATTTATTTTTAGTTTGTTGTTTTTAAACCACCACTTTGGGAGACTGTCCCAACATAAAGAGTTAAGAGATTATAAAATCATGTTTTGTGCAGGTTTGAAACACAATCTGAGAGTGTGTAGTGGTCTCAAATTTGATGTGATAAGCATTAATAATCCAAGCTAAATGTTAAAAGTATATATGGTGAGTGTGATATTGGTAGACTTGGGGTAGTGTTTTGTTTTCCTTTTCATTAATTCAATAAATATTTAAGTACCTGGTATTTGGCAAGCTCTACACATTGATGCTGTAGCAGTGAATAGAACAGATAAAATTCTGGCCTTTCTAGAAGAGAGTTGTGTTAGAACAGTGAGGTACAAGTCGAGGCTTTGGTATTTGTTTGCAATTTTCATTAGCCGTATGAGGGGACACCTTGTTGTAGGGGACACCTTGTTGTAGTGGTGATACCTGGTCAAGACTTGAAGGAGTGAACTAGGTTGATAATAATGGAATTCCAGGAAGAGAGAACTAAAAGGCCAGAGGTAGAAGTGTGTCTGTCAAGCTCTGGCATCTGCCTGGAGGCCAGTTTGGCATTATAGGGTAGGGCCTAGGAACCTCAGCATGAGGTAAAGTCTGAGAGGTGAGTAAGACCTTGGTTTTGGCTGGGAAGAAGTTGGGAGTGCCCCTCCCCCAGGATACTGCTTTGGTGTAGAGTTTGATGAGGTAGTGTGTCCCTGTTCAAATGATTAGCATGACTCTGCTGTGTTGAACTGGACACTGCTCTCCAAAAGCATTGCATAAGCAATAAAAGTAGCTAACATCGCATTAGTTATGACTTGTGGTTTTTAAGAACTCACGTGCTTATTTAACTATAGTGACTGTGTGTCTGTCTGTGTGTGTGTGTGTGTGTGTGTTTTTTTTTTTTTTTTTTTTTTTTTTACCCAGTATCATCATATAAAGAACATTTCCCTTGCAACCATTGGTTATGGAGAAAACGAAGACAACGGAACTGGCTTGAAACTCTGTAAGCGGCATTACAAGACAGGCGCCATGCTTTCTTCAAACGGGACCCTGAGTATTGACCGAGACATTGAGACAGGTAACAGCAGTGGCCATTTCATCGCGCGACTTTGTCCTTTTCTGTGATGAGCTAAATGGCTCCCACGTGCTAGCGGCTCGGAGGAACCGGGTGGAGCAGGTTCCTGCTGGCTCAGGCTGTCACACTTCCACAGCTGCCGCTGAAGATTTTGGCTCAGGAAGCCACGTGGTCCTGGTGATGGGAAGGGGCACCGCTTTGGGATGCCTCTTTGGTGCATCTTAAACTTGTGCGGTCTGTGTTCTCAACCACCACCCTCCACTTTCACTTCCCAAGTGTTGGGGCCAAGGGTGTGTGCGCACCACCACACCCATCCTATCGTTTATAAAATATACAGTGTTCTTCAAAGGTGAGTTGAAGTTCATGATTATTATTCTCTTAAGAGATTGCTTGATAAAAACTTCCCAGCTAGCCATGCAGCCACTTTGGGCCATTCTGTTAACAATGTAAAAGGACATGTAAGGGCATAGTGTATGCTTCAAGACTTTGGAGTTTTGCTGTTCAGTCAGCAGACCCAGGACACTCACCGTCTGCTATGGGGTTGCCAACGACAACCCATTTTGGCTTTTAAGTAGCAGGCAGTTCAGGAGGAGGGTTCCCAGTAGTGGGGTAGGCGTTAGTTAAATGACATCTCACAGCCTGTTTAGCCGTATTTCTTATTCTGATCTTGAGGTGTTTTGGTAACACAGGAGAACCCCCACAGGACAGGGAATTTACCTGCTTCCTTGAGTTGACTGTTCAGAATCCATATGTGAACAAACGTGCCCTGGGCTCTGTGTCCTGCAGGAAGCAGTCAGTGAGTCACACTGGCCCAGGCAGTTGTCTGGCTTCCAGGCTGCTGTTAGAGACCATCCTGGGGCAGGTGCTTGGCCCTTGCTCACCTGAGAGCTGCTGGTAATTACATGGCTTTTCCTAGGGAAATGTGAATGAATGTGTATTTGATGCAGATAGGACATCAATGACAGACCAAAAAAGCTTATTCTACCCACAATTGTTAGTGAAGTGATGAGTTAGTTGGGATTGGGCACAAGAGTATGGGTGACTGAAATTCAGCCACACTCTGTGGAAAGCCTGCCCAGCATGGATGACAACTTTCAAAAGCTGCATCCCACATTCCACAGGGCCCCTCTTACACTAAGATCACATGAGCCAGCAAGAATTCACTGCTTTTGTGACTTTGGAGAGGATTCAGTGGATCTTGTAGCTTTCAGTTTCTTGAGCCTTGTGAGTCTCCTTAGCTTTCTGAGTCTTAGTAGCCCTCACCCTCAATGCCCACATCCTTCAAGGAGGGCATGCCTAAGGCCAGAGGGAATACCTACCCAATAGGCAGTTCCCAGTGACACGTATGCCATGCTTTGCTTTTTTTCTTCTGACTAAATTTTCTGGGGGGAAATGCTTAAAGAAATGTAGCCATTTCTTGAAAAAATGTGGTCAGTATGAGTGGCTAGGGAAGATGGACAGGGCTAAAAAGCAAGTTTTATTTATTTTCCAACTGTTGCACAGTGGTGGCATTGTTCATTTCCTTTCTCCAAGAATACAGAATATTTTAGAGGAAATGGGGAGACGTGGCTTATTAATCTGACTTTAGGAGAGAATGCCTTCTCCGATCTAACTCATTATAACTGTCAAAGAGAATCTGTAAACCTTCTGAAAGTGCATAAAGATTCTTTTAAAATTTGATTCTTGATTTTCTTGTATACATGAGAGAGAACTTTTGCTAATGAGGGAAATGCGGATTGACTTTTCCCACCACTGGAAGCCTCCAGATGGTGGGTCACGTTGGACTCCCTCCAGATGTGGTTGTTAAGAAGGCTTGGTAGATGCTGTCTTAGCTATGTGTAAACGTGGCATTTCCTTTGCTACACAGGAAACCATCCTTCATGTTCCGATTGCAGACAATCGCCTGTGTAGCCAGCCATCTAGTGGGCTGAAGCTCAAGTTGCAAAACTGAGTATGAGGATTAAAGAGAACAATTCATTAACCAGAGAACATACGTGGCCACCACATGCTTTCTGTGGTACGCCGTTTCACGAGCTGTCTGTTCAGTTCTGTGTCTCACGGGCTGTTTGGCCCAGGGTGGCGCATTTTTATTAAGCACAAAAGGACCCCGCATTTCATGGATGTGTTTCCTGTGCCAGCTACATTGGAGGCTGTGGGGGTTTAGCAGGGTACAGCCGAGTTGCCCTCTTGTTCTCAATGGCCTCATATCTTGAAGTCACAGAGGATCCTCCCGCCTTAAGCTCCCGAATTCTGGGGTTAAAGCCATTTGCCGCCCGCGCTCTGCTGGTCACTGCATTTTCAAGGAGAAGAACATCTCCCACCAAGCATTTTTGGCTCATCACAACTGGATGAGGTTATGCATCTTTAGAAGGGATGTCACACGGCTGATATGCTCTCCCTGGTGCATTGTAGCAGGAGGCACCTGAAGCTCCTTCTCCCCCAGACTGCCGATGTTGACTTGCGGGTGGCACTTGTGGGTGTCTGCACTGATGCGCCCCATGTTGTAACCAGCTGATATTTTCTGGCGTTCAGAGGATGCTTCTCATCACATGGATGCTGTGCTGACTGCAGCACCAGATTCTTTCAGAAGTGACCGTTCCTTGTCTGTCTGTCGCTCTAGAGTGCACTCACCTCGACCTCCAGGTGCTTGACAAGGAACCCGAGGTCTGGACACAGGCTCCCTTCTTCAGGCTGGCTTTCTATCGGTAAACACAGCAGGAGAGGAGCCCTGGGTGGGGGTGGGGGTGGGGGTGGGGGTGGGGGGTTGGACAGGAGGCTGGTGACACTGACAGTTGTACCATTGACTGCATTTTACTTAGGCTTGTGCAAGTTGATATCTCCTTTGCCCTCAAAGGAATTGATCTGCAGGCAATCCATTCCCGAGAGTTACCAGACTGTTACAGCTTTCAGAATACGGCAAGTGTCTTTGTTGTATGGCCGCCTCCCTCTGCCCGTTTTGTTCCCTGTGGAGAGGATGAACACCACAGCGTACAGACATCGGAGGCTGCAGGGTTGGCGTAGCTTTAATGACGGCGTGGTCTCATGTAGTTACTGTTTCATATGAAGATGGAGCCAGCCCTTTCCAACTCCCATAAACCGTATTCCTGGGCTGGGGAGGTGGCTCTTGGTGTGCAAGGCATGAGGACCCAAGTTCAGGTCCCCAGCACCCACAGAAATCCATCACCCCTTTACACTACTTTTCACTGCTAAAGAAAACAGTAAAGGAATTCTAGTTAGCATCAGCTGTCAGCCGGACACAGCGCACGCTGACCTGAGGAAGTGTTCACTAGAGGGTTACCCAGACTGGACAGCCCCGTCAGCTCTTAGGTGGAGCATCTTCTTGGCTGCAGACTGATGTAGGAGACAGCACCCTGGGCAGGTCGCCCTGGGCTGTATCAGAAAGCAGTCAGTACTTTGGTCAGGTCATCCTGGGCTGTATCAGAAAGCAGTCAGTACCCTGGGCAGGTCGTCCTGGGCTGTATCAGAAAGCAGTCAGTGAAGGTTGTAAACAGCCTCCCTCTGAGGTGTGTCCTTCAGTCCCTGCCGTGACCCCTCTCAGTGATGGAGTGTGATCTGGAATTGGAAGCTGAAATATCCCCGAGCTGCTTAAGGTCCATATTTTACCAGCTAGACCAGAGCCCATGTGCCGGGCATTTTTCTTGGTATGATCTCTGTATCCGAGTTCCACCAGAAGGCTGCTGCTGACTTTCATAAGTAGTCCAGCTAATAACTTCCACCTCCTGCTGGACTATAACGAACGTCTCCATTTCTGTCTCCAGATTACCTTCGACAACACAGCTCACAGTGGAAAAATCAGAATCTATTTTAACAGCGAGGCCAACCTAGAAGAGTGTAAAGACATGAACATATCTGGGTCTGGTGAGTGTGCGGTGCGACCCACCCTCTGTGTGTTACAAGGTGGCTTGTGACTTGGAGGACCCATGTGATCATTGTTGATGGTGGGGGGAAGGAAGTTCCATAAAAGCAAAGCTCAAACACGAGTCTCGAGACTTCTGTCCATGTCAACAAGGGTTTATTGCTTCTCTGGAGGACTTAGCATGAGACAGTGGCTTAGATCAGCCTCTGCAGCCAGGTTGCCAGGGTTTGCATCCTGGATCTGTTTGCCACTGGCCTCTCTGTCTTAGAATTCTCTAAGCGCAAGGACAGTGAGTGCATTTGATGACAGTGTTGGCATCCAGTGCTGAGAATGGGTGTCCTCAGCGTGAGGAGGACAAGCCTTAGCAAGGGAGACTGATGTGACAAGATCTCTAGTGCATTATGGGTAGGGATAGGTGGGGAAGTATGGAGAAGGTAAATGGTAGATTTGACCGGGGCCGAGTGGGAATCATAAAATGGTTCTTGGAGAAGGTATGTTCTGATCCAAGCCCTGGACAACGGAGTAAAGAGCCCAGAGTGCAGATGGCAGTCTGGATAAACATGGGGACATTTCCCCAGTCACCCCATGCTCCAGTGCTGACAATGACATTGGTGTGCTGGGTGCGATACAACAGATCTGCAATCCCAGCACTGTGGAAGAAGAGGCCAGATTTCAAGTTCAAAGCCAGCCCAGGTTGCACAGGCGTAACCTAGAGGAGAAAAGCCTAAGCAATGTACACCCATTGTGCTTTCAAGTGGCCAGGGCGCTGTCTCTGAAAGATTGTCAGCATTGCAAATTGGCAAGTGTTGTTCAAATGAACTCCCCTTTGAAAGAAAACGGGAGCCACGTGGATTCTGTTCTAATCTTGGCCCATTACTTTTCAGTTGGACAATGGCCGATGATTTTGAAGTTTCCTTTTTCTTTTCTAGCTTTGGTCTCAGTTGTTTCCTAAAGGAAACACCCAGTTTGGGTTCTGACAAACGGTTTCCTACCCACAGCAGAGACTCTTTCACAGACCAAGTCCAAGCAAGGCTGCAGCTGTGTCCTAGGAAGAAAGTAACCTCTGTCATACTTAAAACGTGATTTTCCGCAGCCACCATGAGGGTCAAAGTGTGCCACAGGGGTCCCCAGACCGTAGCTCCTTCTTAGACATTGCCCCCCCCCCCAACCTGTGCACAGAAAGGATGAGCTCTACCCCCCTCTTGTGGCCGACAGAGAGAAGCGCGTGCCACATAGATCTGGGTGGAAAAGCGGCTAAAGTGTGCTATTCTTACAGCCATGTCTTAAAATGGGCCCCATCACCAGGAAAACGTGCATTTAAGATAAAGTGAAGGGTTGTGGGATCATAAGAAAAAAGAAAGAAAGAAAACCAGATGTTTAGAGCTGTGTGGTGGGTTGAGAAGCCCTGCCTGAGAGACAAGGGCAGAGGCGACATCTGGTGGGCTCCAGCCGCTATTTCCTGTGTTCTGATGTTCCCTCCCACAACTCCGCATCTGCGCTGCTTGCTTCTAGTCTCCTCAAAGCTCAGGCAAGGTCCTCTTTCACAGGCGGGCCTCATCTGCTCCCTGATAACTGTTCCTTCCAAGTGTTTCTGGTCTTTATCAATTTGAGTTTATAAGGAGCCTGGTGGGCCGGGCTCCCTGCTGGTGGGGGCGGGGCGGGGGCGGGGGCGGGGCGGGGCGGTGATAGCTTTTACTTACTGCTTAGTGGGAGGTAATGAATCTGGACAGCCCTGGGTCAGGGTCCCACAGGCAGAGAGTGGTAGGGTGTCCTTACACATCAGATGACGGAATGAGTAGGGTGCCCGGCCTCCCTTGCTAGCCAGGGTGGCAGTGCGTATTTCTGAGCAAGTGTTTTCCAAACTCAGGTTTGGAAACTGTTTCAAAAGGCAAAGTAGTTTCAGAGCACCGTGGAGCTGGTGAGCAGAGCTGCAGCATCTCAGTGTGGCATTTTAGTTCACTTTCTTATTAATAAAGCGAACGTGCTGTCTGTTTCTTCACGGGACAAGACTTAGGACATATGGGCACTTTTTCCTCTTTTGAGCGGAGCCTAAAAGGACCAATTCTGTTGAATTCTGCCCTACAGTAAATATTTATGAGGACGTTTAGCTCACTGAGTAACATTGTAAGTTCCGGGAGTGTCAGCTTGTCTGTGCACTTCTGAATGAGTGCAGTATGGTTTTGCTTCTGATAGTTACTGTTTTAACAATAGGTAAATCGGTTTTTCTTTGCAATTCTCTTCAGAATGCCATTTGCTGGGAAATTATCCTCCCCAATTTGTGCGAGGCGAACTTAACTTCTGCCTTGTTCTGCAGTTCAGAGAAGCCCTCACTATGTGCTGGTGTTTGATGTATTTGTCATCATCATCTGCCTGGCATCCCTTATCCTGTGCACCAGGTCCATTGTCCTCGCTCTGAGGCTCAGAAAGGTGAGCGTAGATCCTCATGTTCTCTCCACTCTCGGCCTGCAGCCTGCGTGTGTCTACAGACACTGGGCTACATCACCCTTTCGATTCCTTTCCTTTACCACCCAGAGGTACGGGAAATAAGACGATGCCGGGGGGGGGGGCTAGTGAGACATGCCAGTTGGTAATGTGCTAGCCATGCAAGCACGAGGATCTGAGATCGATTCCCAGCATGCACATGAAAAAGCCAGATAGAAAAGCCAGACAGGACCACATATTCGGTAGAAATGTGGGCCTCCTTGGGGTTCGCTAGGATCAGTGAGCTCAAGTTCAGTGAGAGACATTGTTTAAAACAAATGCGGTGGGGAGTTGTTGAAGAAGACACTCTGGCTTCCACATGTGTGTGCACATACTTACACACGCATGTCAACATACATGCACATATGCATACACGGAAACTTTAAAGGGAAGGGAAAGGTTTAAGTCCTATCAGGAGGTCAGGTCAGATAATTACTCTGCTTGAAACTGATCTACAAGTACAGGTATTTGTGGTAAGATCCTCAAGCATTTAGAAGCTTCCAGAATAAACTTTTAATTCCCGCGGGTGATCTTAAGAGCATGTGTGGGTTCAAGGAAGAGTTCACTGTGACAAGAAGGCACAGTAAGTGGGTGATGAGGAAGCATGACATTCTTGGATTTGGTTTCTTCAGTAGGGTCATTGTACCTCCTGCCTCTTCCGGTATGTATTTCCGGGAGTGCAGCTCACTGTGTGTCTTAGTCTGGCTTGGGGCATAAGTGTAGGTTCCCGCTGGGGCCCGGGGAGGCAGAAGATACTGAAACACCATCTTCAGAGTAGGAAGTACCCTATGGTCTATTTTATTTGATCTTGACTTCCATGTTGGCTTTAAATTATTTTTTGAGATTTATTACTTTATGTGTATGAGTGTTGTGCACACATGTATGTCTGCGCACCATATACATCCTGTGCCCTCAGAGGCCAGGAGCAGGTATCAGATCTCTTGGAACTGGAGTTACAGACAGTTGTGAGCTCACAAGTAGGTGCTGGGAACTGAACCCAGGACCTCTGGAAGAACAGCCAATGCTGTTCTTTGTAAATGCCTACTTCATATCTGCCTTCCAACCTTCTAGATATTCTGAATCCAACGCTGAGGTCTGTCTCTGCCACGTGCAGGCACAACATTGGGAACACAGTGCTCACATCTGGGCCACAAGAGAATCCTAGTTCATTGGGAACACAGTGCTCACATCTGGGCCACTAGAGAATCCTAGTTCATTGGGAACACAGTGCTCACATCTGGGCCACTAGAGAATCCTAGTTCAAAGGGTTCCCATCAACCGGCTTGAACGAAGCCATAATATGCAGTATTTGGAAGGCACTCTGGGCTGAGTGACAGCACACGTACTTAGTGTGTGGGCTAATTTAACAGATGTCTAAGTTCTTGCTTACCCTGGAGTAGACAATGTGACTCAGCGTGTAGCATTGTATCTCCCCATGAGGTAGATCTGCCATCTTGGAACTGTTTGCTCTTGTCTTCTGCCTCCAGAGGGCAGTGCGATTTATAAGAAATGCTTTGTAAATGTTTGCGGTAGAGGTTTCTAAACTTCTTCCTGGAGAAGTACAAGCGACGTGTGTGCGATGCTGACCAATGGGAGTTCATCAATGGATGGTATGTCCTGGTCACCATCAGCGACCTCATGACAATAATTGGATCCATATTGAAGATGGAGATCAAGGCCAAGGTAAGAGACACACCATCGAGGATCTTGTATTATCTTGTCATTAAGAGACACAGAATGCTTCTGGAGACCATCGTGATTCTTGTGTTTTCTCTTTTATGACATAAAGCTGCCTCACACTCTTCCCTAGGAAGATTGTACACTGTGGAAGGTGACATCTATGGCCTCCCTCCAGGCATGGATAGTCGTGTTTTTAGAACAAGGATTGAAGTTTGGGAAGACTGAGGTTTCCTTTGTATTTATCTATTATTTATTAATTTATCTATTTACTTGGGTAACTTGCAAAGGAAGCAGCTGGCACACTGACCAGTCACCTCTGCTGAACATACTGAAGAGCCTGTGGTAGATGCGTGCGTGCGTGCGTGTGTGTGTGTGTGTGTGTGTGTGTGTGTGCGTGTGCGTGCATGTGTGTGTTCATGCTGAGGGAGGAATAAGGAGTGCTTGAGTGTCTACAAGGTTAATTGGTTATTTTCTGTTCACAGTCTCACAAAGCTACCCTCCTCATGGCTACAGGGCCTCCTGTCCCTCCTGTCTCCTCTCAGGCTGACTTCCTCTCTGGCCAGCCTTCTTGTTGGTGTTTCGGGTTTTAGTCTTATATCCCACAGATCCAGCTGTACAGTGGTTGGGCAAATTTCCTGGAAACACCCAGCTCTCTGTGACAGTCCTTTCTGTCTCCCAGGACCTACTCAGGATGAAGGGACCTACCGTCATCATGGCCTCTAAGGGTCTCCTCACTGGTCTCTCCCCTCATCCTGGCGCCAGATCTCAGCCTTAGTGATGTCCAGCCTCTGCCCATGAGCCTGTGGACTTCTCTCCAGTCTGTGCTGTGTGTCCAGCTCAGTTCTGGGCCATTGCCTTGGGAGAGCCTCTGTGAAAAGTGGCCGCTGTGTCTTCCATGAAGTTAGCATACTGTATTAGAATTGTGTTTATCGTCTGTCTCTTCAGGGAGAACTATGTTCGCTAGTCACACTGGAGTTTGCTTCCAAAAGTGGCTGGGCTGTGTTGTTGGATATTTGGCAAACACCACGCTCTTTCATGCCTAGGTCAGCGGTAAAGGCAAGTCCTATTTCAAAAAGAAAAGAAACCAGTTTGCAATTAAAGTCCTAAAAGAAAATGGAAACAAAACATTGGAAGTTTTCTCTGCTCCCTTCCTGTCTTCTCCTTCCTTCCTCTCCCCCCTCCTCCTCCCCTCCCCCTCCCCTCCTCTCCCCCCTCTCCCTTCCCCTCCCCTCCTCTCCCCCTCCCCCCCTCCCCCTCCCCCTCCCCCCTTCTCCTCTTCCCTCATCCTCTCCCCTCCTCTCTCTCCTCCTTCCTTCCTCTCCCCCTCCTCTCCCCCTCCCCCTCCTCCTCTTCCCTCCTCCTCTCCCCCCTCCTCCTCCCCCTCCCCCTCTTCCCTCCTCCTCTCCCCCCTCCTCCTCCCCCTCCCCCTCCTCCTCTTCCCTCATCCTCTCCCCTCCTCCTTCTTTTCCATTTCCCCCTTCTTTTCTTCATCCATCTTCATTGTTTGTGTTTGGAGACAAGGTCTCACTCTGTAGCCCGGGCTGGCCTAGAACTTACTATGTAGTTAAAGCTGGCCAAGAATTTACTGTGAACTCCAGGCTGGGCTTGGGAACTCATGGCGATTCTCCAGCCTCAGCCTTCAAGTGCTGGGGTGACAGATACGGGTAGAGGACATTCAGTTCTTCTCATCCATCGAAAGGAGGTAAACAAGCCAAGGGGACCGGGCTGTCTTACTCACCTGTGTCTTTTCCTTCCGCAGAACCTCACAAACTATGACCTGTGCAGCATTTTGCTCGGGACGTCAACGCTCTTTGTCTGGGTGGGAGTCATCAGATACTTGGGCTATTTTCAGACATACAATGTAAGCTCTCAGGAGTGCTGTCATGCTTGACACTCGTTTCTCCGGGTTCTCCCTGCTACTTTCCATCCGCCAACCCGTCCACTGCTCTGTTTTTCAGGTGCTCATTCTAACCATGCAGGCCTCACTGCCCAAAGTCCTCCGTTTCTGCGCTTGTGCTGGTATGATCTACCTGGGGTACACGTTCTGCGGCTGGATTGTCTTGGGACCGTACCACGAGAAGGTGAGCGGCAGCCCCTCTCTGTACGGAGGGTATGTGGGGCCCTTCGCCTTGAGCCTCCAGCGCTGACCTCCGCCTCTCTCCTCCAGTGAGCACCCCTGCAGTCAGGGCCCAGAGAACTCTTCTATTTCTCTACCTTCTCCTCAGGACATTGAAGTAACGTTAGGATATAGAAACAAGAACTCCAGGAGACGGGAAAACACACTTCTCACAGTAGTCTGCGCCTGGCAGAGGATCTGACACATTCAACCAGCTGATTAGCAATGAAAAATGTTTGCACGTGAGGCCATTGTTAGCAAAACTTTTTTTTTTTTTTTTTTTTTTTTAAAGTAGGGATGATATGGCAGAATTGTACCAGGGTGAAGTATCAGGCTTGACATTCCCATTGGCTGAGGTGAATGGAGAGGAGTGGCTGCTCTACTGGCCATGAGCACCCCGTCGTCTCTCTTGAAACGAGCTCACACCTGTGAGGGTGGCTTTGCTCAGGCATGAGGTCTCCATCTTAACAAAGATCAGAATCGGGGTCTGTTACTTCCCTTCAGGCAGCGTCATAGGCCCAGGAGGGTTGCACTGATGGTTGGGCACGGCATAATCCCAAGAGTGTTGAGGAAGGAGGAACTGCTTTGAGCTCAAGGCCAGCCTGGGCCACAGTGAGCTCAGGGCTAGCCTTTGCCTCAGAATGGTTGAGAGAACATCATGAGAAGAAGCCAGAGAGGCTGTGTCTCAACCCAAACAGTAACAAGAGTGATTGCATCTTACAGAACGTCTTCTCCAGGCTGTTGGGACAATAGCAAACATGACAGCAGTTAGCACAGTTGTCAGTGGGGTAGGTGCCGTGCACAACATTCCGGGGACTCTCTCTCATCACACACAGCCCCTGCACGCTCACACTGGTGCCATCAGGCACCCAGAGAGCAGAAATGAGGCAGAGAACACAGAGGTTTTCCTTCAAGTCTGTGTAACAGCTCAACCCTAAATTCTGACCTTGACATTAATGGAGGTATGTGGTTGGTAAGCCGTTCACGGGGTGAGTGATACACACCCAGACCCTCCCCCACATCCTACTCCTTCAAACCCCGGCTTGAAACACCCAGGCTTCTCTCTGTCACAGTTGATGCATCCAGAGTCCAGATTTTTCTTACTGGAAAAAAAAAAAAAACAAAACAAACAAAAGTCGATGAACAAAGAGACAACCTGTCACTTAACAGCAAGTGTTAATGAAGCTATTGAGTTTTCTGTTTCGTGTTACGTCTTTGAAGGTGGCTCAGAGGTAAAAGTTGTCCTTTGACACGCTAACTCTGACTTGGAGAGCTCACTGTCTGATCAAGTCCAGAGGCTGCGTTTTTCTTGCTTGCCTCCTGCTCCTGGAGCATCTCCAGCCCTCTGTCACTAGAGGGCACTGTTGCACCGTGTGGGATAAATACCGAGCCTAACCCGGGTTCCGTCAATCCATTGGCCCCGAGACAGTCAGACAAGTCCTGTGTTCTTTGTCACCCGTTTCTGGCTGTTCTTCCACCCCCACCATTGTTCTGGGAGGTTTTCAGTTAATACTGTTTGAAGTTGCTGCTACTTTGCTTTTTCTTAGGCTCATTTGCTGTCCAAGTTCTCTATCACCCATGCCCTGTTACCCCTCCCATTAGCCCTCTGTCTCTGTTATAAAATGCTCGACAGACAGACTTGGAAGGAAGGTTTATTTTATGTCACGGTTTTAGTTCCCAGTCACTTCCCAATCACTTGGTCACGTTTTCCAGCTTCCCTTCATCTCCCTCAGAGTGAACCGATACCCAGTATTTCTAGCACCCCCCACTGGTCAGTTGATGATGTGCTCCCACCTCCAGTCAGGCTGATAGACTGGGAGCTACTGAGTTTGCGCAGTAAATGCACAGGCCGGCAGGTGAAGGAACTAGCCCGATGCTGCCCGGGATCTCTGCTGCTTTAAATGTGAAGTTGGAAAAATTTACTGCCAGGTCATTCCACTAAGCCCTTCAGGGTTACCCAGACCCCGAGCAGCCGAGCGAGCGTCGTGGCCAACACTGGTTAGTTTGAGAATCACAGCATCCTGGAGTGTGGAAACCATTCCGGATTTAAAGCGAACAAGCCAACAAAGAGCTGCAAAATGACGGCGTCTTGAAAACCCTCACTTGATGCAAGTGAGTGGGAGTAAGAGCCCGGATTCCTTAGCTTCCTGTTTTCCTGCCACACATTTGATGGATCAAAAAGTGTCACGTCGATGTCCATTTCCAGCACTAATGGACTTTGGCACCATGTTCCTAGAAGATGTCTGGACCCAAAGAGCTAAAGACTGTCGATGGTCTTCCAAACGTCGTCTTGAATTATTAAGCACTTCTCTAATGTGGCTTTTACATTTCCCATCTCCAGGGGACTTTTTTCCCCCTTAAACTATGATGCATGAATAATTGTTCTTGCATTGTCCCCGTTTTACAAATAAGAAGAACAAAGCATTGAAAAATCATTGCACTTTGTTGAGGCCACGGGCACGATCCTGAAATGTCCAAGGTTTCTGGTCTTGTTTAGACACTTCGCTTATTTAAAATAATCACGAGCCAGCTGAAACTATAAATCTAAATATTACAAGAGATTTGTTACCTTCCCTCGGAGAACACATTAAACCATTTCCCGACCTAAGCAAATGCAGGTTATATCTGCCTTCCAATGAAAGGTCTTTTGACTACAAGCATTATTTATGACATAAATGTTGTGTTTCTTCGATCTCATTGGACACGTCAGAACTTTTAATGGACATACTTATTGGCTGTTTATTCCCTCCACATACGCAGCTTGTCAGGACTGAGTTTTTAAAAGGCAAAGATTGTGGCTCCTTCCTCTTCAAGTTCCCAGTGCTCACCCTGTGGCCTGGAATGTGTCAGGCACTCAGCGAGGTTTGCCTCTGGGAGACTGTTGATCTTTCCGATCAACCTGCCTCCATTGAAAATCACCTTAGAGACATAGCTCCAGGCATGAGCATTTGGGCATTTCCAGAAAGTTCCAGCAGAGGAGGGAGGACTCCCCCTGAATGCAAGGTCTCAGAGTCCAGCATGAATAGAAAGGGAAAAGGAAGAGAGCCAGGGGAGTGCCCTGACATTGTTGACCCTCTGAGATGTGAGCAAGCAGCTGTTGTACACTCTGCCTTCCTGCCACGATGGATTGTATGTCCCCCTCAAGCCATGAGCAAAGCAACCCTCCCTCCTTGCCAGGCATTTGTTCACAGGGACAAGAAAAGCAGCTAGGCATGGGGGCTTGGCATTCTTAGGAGGTAACCAATGTGCTACTGTTCAAACCCTTTGCTCCCGGGACATGCTTATGAATGGCATGCAGTTTGTTTTAGTGGAAGTGGTAGCAGTTTGATAGCTTCTCAAAGGCAGGATGACTGGCTGTGGATTCTGGCAATACTCTGTGCTAGCCTTGGGTCCATGTTTAAGCTCTGTGTGCACACCCTCAGCTGAACCTACTGTCTGAGTCTGTTAAGAGCCTATGAATAGTAATTTTTCTTCTATAGCTAACAAAAGAAACTAAAAGAAGGGTTTGCTTTGGCTTACAGTTTGAGGGTACATTTCATCATGGTGGGGAAGTTTGTTGTGAGACCAGGAGGTGGCTGTCACATGTCACTTACAGTCAGGAGGCTGGTGCTCAGCTTGCTTTCTCCTTGTTATTGGGAATATATAATGTGCTATATTATATTGGTTATAATTATTATGAAATATAATATGGATTACACACATATCTGTATCTGTATCTATACATATCCACCTATATATAGGATGAATCTTCCCACCTAAGTGTAACTACTCAGATACCTGCCAGAGGTGTGGCTCCCTGGTGACTCTGGATCCTGTCACGTCAACGAAATTCAACCATCACATGATTCTGGCCCAGCCCTTACCCTTCCTGCAGATATACTTTCTCCAGAGTCTCTTTGTTTGGTTAGGACTCTCTGCCTCATGTGAATTCCTAATGTCACCTTTGACTTGCACCTGCCCCTGGGCTGCTCCTGCTCTAGGAGATATCCCATGGGCCATTAGTTTTTAAAGAAGCATGCGTCAAATCACATCGCTCCTGCGGCTCAGATGTCCTTCACTCAAGTCTGCCTGAGAGCTGGGTTGAGCCTGATGTGTGCCGTGTCACTGAGGGCCTGTGCAGCTCATCACAAATGTCTCTGCTCAGCCGTTGCTGTGTGTCCATCCTCACAGTCACTGTTTCTGTAGTCACTGAATACAACCTTTTCTTTCCCCTGCTGAGGACGAATTCGGTGCATCACTGGCCTTGTATGGCCCACCCCACTGTCTATCTGAGCTGTGGCTTGTCCACTCTTGGGGCTTGGAAGTGTTCCTCCGTGTGGTTGGGAAGACTATGGTCTTGTGTTGTCTTAACCACTTCCATATGTAGCTGGCTAAGACACAGACACCCCCATTCTACTAATGACAAGAGCAGCCAGAAGAGGCCACGCTAACCCCAGCCCCCGCTTCCCATCATGCAGTGCCCACATTCAGGGCTTCCTTTGTGTTTGCCCCTGCAGTTTGAAAACCTGAATATAGTGTCTGAATGCCTGTTTTCTCTGGTCAACGGCGATGACATGTTTGCCACGTTCGCTCAGATCCAGCAGAAGAGCACCCTGGTTTGGCTGTTCAGCCGCCTCTACTTGTATTCCTTCATCAGCCTGTTCATATACATGGTCCTCAGCCTGTTCATTGCACTCATCACTGACTCTTATCACACCATTAAGGTAAGTCACAGTCAGTATTTGCTCCAAAAAGCACCATAAGCATTGCATGGGTTGGAGCATGAGAAGAGGCTGTAATCTTATTGAAATACAATTTTATTCAAGTTTTTAAACATTTAGAAAATATACCTTCTTCGTTCTGATGACTGATTTTAAATATGCACTTGTCTTAGGGTTTCTATTGCTGTAATAAAATGCCATGACCAAAAGCAGTTGGGGAACAAGGGGTTTATTTTATTTGGCTTACACTTCAACATCTTATTCCATCATTGAAGGAAGTCAGGGCAGGAACCTGGGGTCAGGGCAAATGCAGAGGTAATGGGGATGGGGGTTGCTGCAGATGGCACCACCCACAATGGCTGCAAAATCGCCCATGAATCATTAATCAAGAAAATGCTCTACAGTCGAATCTTTTGAAGGCATTTTCTCAACTGAGATCCCCTCCTTTCAGATAACTCTAGTTTGTGAAAAGTCGATATAAAACAGACCAACACAGTACTTGAAACATTTTACTCGTTGCCCTGATCAAAGTGGTTTGGTTTGGAGGCATGCTGGGAAAGAGAGGGAAAGGAAGAAAAGCTGAGTATGGTTAATTCAACAACCGGATGGCTATTGTTGGCACTGACAGATGCTCCTGCCTGCATGGCTACCTGGGACTCAGGTCTCAGGATAAATTCCAGTGACAGGAGTTGATTGTCACCCTGGCAACTGGGTAGATAACAACGTACCTCATACCTGGTGATAGGCACACTTATAGTTCACCTTTCGTTAAGGTAAAGAAAGGGAAGGCCCCCGATTTCCTGAGCCATGGTGTACCCTATGCTTTCAGATGGGGTCTGTGAGGTCGATTTAGAGCTCAAGGAAGCTTGCTGTCTTCGAGCTGTTATCTCCACAGTGGATGGTTGTGCTGGCCAAACCACTTCAGAAGGACTAGCGTCTAAGCCACACAGAGTGCTGCCCCCTCCCCAGGCTAACTCAGAAGAAAGCTGCGTGTGGGGTTACAGTCAGAGTGTGTATGGCAGTTACTCCTGCAGCAGGCTGTGTTGGGGCTTACAGGCTCTTGCCATGAAGATTCATGTCTTTGACATGGTAGTATCCTTGCGTGGGGGCAAGTATCAGTGTTGAGCTAGATGACCTTACTAAGCATGACCGGAAGCTAGGGGTTTTACGTCTGTTGAGAGAAATCTGCCCCTGTCCCATTCTGTGGTCAACATCCATGTACGCAGAGAATGGGGTTATGTCTGTCAGATTCTAGGCGGGCTTTGTATAGAGGGAAATTTATCTGCTGTTCTCATTATTAACATTCTAGCTTTGTGGTTCTGAGTATTTCTTTTCAACACACCACTTCTTCCTTCCCCAACGGCTTGTTTTCTGGAGATTTCCTTCCCATTTTTCTCAGTTCCCATGGCCTCCCCGGCTTAGCTGTTCTAGGACGAACAGAATGAGTCATCATTGTTCATAGTCCTTCTTGGATCTGAGCTAGCACTGTAGGAGTCTCATTCTCAAAGGCGGGTCTGCTTTGTTGACAAAGAGAACAAGTTCTCATGCTCTAGAGAGGAGTTAACGGCATTGTGTGCTTTTCAAAAGAAATACCAGCAAAGTGGGTTTCCTGAAACGGATCTGCAGAAGTTCCTGAAGGAATGCAGTGGCAAAGACGGGTACCCGAAAGAGCCATCAGCCTTGCTGTCCTGTGTCTGCTGCCTGAGGAGGTCAGTGTTGTGTCTGTAGCTGGAAGAAAGTCATTCCAAAGTTAACACTGCACTCTGAAGTCAGCTTGTGGTGGGAAACAGTTGGGTTTTCTTTTCTTTCCTCCCAAACACAAATTTGTTTCAGAAGTGGATTGTTTTCTATAAAACAATGTTCTATACAACAAGGTTGTGTAGAAAGCTCCATGACATGGTTGAAAAACTCTTAGGGTCCTTATACGTGCCTCATGAGGAGATGAACTGTGACCCAAGTCAAGAGGCTGGGCCCTTAAGGGACCAACGGTGGACTCTGAAGAAGGGGGGAAGGGGGTTGGGAGATGGACTTCCAGGCATGTCAGATACATTTCTCCCCTCCAGGATATGGTACAAATCAGCTCCTTGGACAGATAGGGGCCTGATAAAGAGGAAGCTGTTGGTGTCTGTCCTAGTTACTTTTCTGTTGCTGTGACAAAACACCATGACCAAGGCAACATAGAGAGAAAAAAAAAAAAAAAGAATTTGTTGTTGTGTATACAGATTCAGAGGTTGAAGCCATGGTCATCATGGCGGGGAGCACGGTGGGTGGCAGGCGGGCAGACCTGGAGCAGTAGCTTCGAGCCATACCCTGACCCACAAACACAAGGCAAAGAGAGCTGACTGGGAATGGCATGGGCTTTTGAAACTCAAGTGAAGTCTAAGTGAAGTACCTTCAACAAGGCCACACCCCTAACTGGGTACTAAGTGTTCAAATATACGAGCCTATGGGGGACGTTATCTTTCAAACCACCCACATGCCCTTGTTTGAAACCATGCACCAGTGTCTCTTCGGTGCCCAGCCAGGCTTCGCTGGCTGTTTGGACTCTCAGAGAAATGACATGGATCTTGGGGACCAGAGTGTGCTACATAGTTGTGTGGGGATGAGGATGGAGGTCAGATGGGGATAGTTTTCTGTATTTTCACGTGGGTTAAGGGTAGGAGTTTTTACGGTATACCATAGCCATGTTTTTTAGAGGAGGATTCTATAATTCAAATTCCTAAAGGAAGAGGGGAGACTATGACTACATATACTCACATGATGCGTGTTTCTGTTAACCAATTCACACTGCATCGTGGGGCTTGCAATGAAGTGACTTGTAACACAAACAGTAAAAGACCCAGAGGCAGATGTTTGGGGTTCAAGCTTCAAGCTGAAGATCAGGAAAACAAAGCAGCCAATCCACTAGCTCTCACCTCCACCTCGGGCTGAAAGAGTTGATCCTTCATCCATGAGTTCTCCCCAAGCCTCAGACTGCTGCTCTCCTCAACATGCCTGGAGAATGAATGCCAGCTCTGGGGCCCAGTTCTTGCTGAAATACCTCTGTGAGTCCTGGGATTAAAGGCGCAAGCTCTGTCACTCTTTTAGACTGATTCCATCTCATATAGCCCTGGGTGGCCCTGACCTCAGGGAGATCCACCTGCCTCTGTCTCCAGACTCCTGAGATTAAAGGTGTGTACCACTACCACCTAGCTCTATGGCTGACTAGAATGGCTGCTTTAGCTATTTTGATCTCCAGTAGCTTTAATAAATCATAAACAATGTATCATCACAGCAACTCAGCACATGCAAAGAATGTCTGGTAAACATGAAATGAGGTCTTCTGAGTTGTTTTCAAAACTGTGTTTCATCATCTCAGAGCATCAAGTCATTGCTGTAGATGCCAGAATGAAGGAGGATTAATTTTCTTCGTTGGCAGCCGCCTCCTAAGAGATGGGAAGGATAAGACAGGTCTCTTGGGGTTGCCTTGTTATTGTGTAGTTGTTATATTAGTGACTTTTCTTGCTGCTCTGATAAAATGCCTAAGGAAAGAAGGGTTTCTTTCAGCTCAGGGTTTGAAGAAATAAAGCTTGGTAACCAGAGCACGTGGCAGTTGGTCACTCTGCAGACACGGCTAAGAAGCAGAAAGAGATGAATGGGGGCATTCAGTTAGCCTCCATCTCTCAGGGTGATCTTCCCTTCTCAGTGAAACATCTCTACAAATACCCCCAAAGTTGTACCCAGTGTATTGATTCCACGCCTCTCCTGAGCCACTTGGTGCCTGCAGTCAGTCATGGTGGGGGTGGTGGGGGTGGCCTCACATGATGGACGCCTTGGAGAGAAAGGCTTGGTTGAGCAGAGTCAGTTGTCAAATGTTCCTTGCTGGGAAGGAGTGCCTGGACCCTGTAGGCCCATAGGCTGTGCTAGAGTAGAGTCCTGAGTAGAGTCCCAAGAGACGATGGCTGCTTACAGGTTGTTTCCAGAAGCGATTATCTAAGGCTCAGAGCACGCACATTTCCCTTCTTCGGGCTTCTTCCTCTTTCACATTTTGCCCATGTACACTGTGCGTGTCTAGAATGTAGACGATCCCAGTCTTTTTATATCGATTTTGGGGAGTTGGGGATGGGGATGTAGCTCAGTGGCAGGACACTCGCCTAGACTGGGTAAGGCCCTCAGTTTGACCCCCAGCACTGCTGTATACATAATAAAGTTTTAAAAATGTCAAGCATGGCAAGGTCTGCCTTCTGGGAGGGGAGGCAGAAAGATCAAGAATTCATGGCCATCCTCGGCTACATAGTCTGAAGCCAGCCTGAGCTATGTAAGACCCTGTCTAAAACAACAACCACAACAAAACAAGGCTACCCACACAAAAATTCCCAAGTCATTGCTGTCTTTTTTCTTCACCCACTTTTCTGTTTACAGGAGAGGAAGCGATGACCACTTGATTGTCATTGACTAAAACCCTTCTGCTAATGTCAATCACGTCTTTCTTCTGTGGTAGAGCAGAGGGACCTCGGAGGGAGCAGAAGTTCACTAAAAGATTGCCTTTCTGAATTGTGGATGCAGAAGGAGGGGTGTCTGCCAGCTGCTGACCAGAAGTGACACTCCAAGTTACCTTTTATAAACATGGAGGGTGGATAGGCCCCTCCTGCGAATTCATGTGATGGAAGTTTTTTTTTTTTTTTAAATGAAATTCATCTGCCGTCTGTGCCTTTGTGACATCAGAAAGTTGGGAAGGAAAAAATACTAGCATGTCGGAGCGTGTAAGCAATATTTGAAGCCAGGTAAAGATATATGTATATTGCCAGAAAAGTATTTGTTTTAAAATATGATCCTTGGATTTGAAGATATGTGTCAATTCATGGTCAACACAGAAATACCTTTGGTTTCAATACCAAGCTGAGGCTTGAACCTGGAGGACTGGTAAACCGTGTAAGGCTCACGCTCAGACATTAACAGAAGGACGTCTAGAAGAACTCAGGTCTTGGCTGGTTGTCTTGTGAATTTGCCTTTGGGGCATGCTAGCACAGCTAGTAAGATGAGGTAGAACATCTAGCTATCTTCTCAGCTGAGCTTTCCTGGCCTGTACACCAAGGTGAGTGGCCACTTGGAGTGGCCACCTGTTTCGCGAGTCATCGCCACTGTGGTGGGGATTTACCTCTGTCTAGCAAGGAAATGTGGTGTATGTTTCCTTAAATAAATTTATTTTCATGATGCTACCAAGTGGAGGTTTCATATCACACCCCTCTAAACTACTTTTCTACATGAGAGATCTTTCACTTTTGAGCAAGTGTTGGAGGACCTATGGGGCTTGGTCCATAGAAGCTGTTCAATACAGATTTGTGCTAATGGCAAGAGATGAAGATCACCTTGAACACAGATTTACAGCACAGCCAAGTGGGCTCAGGGGCCGTGAACTCCACTGGTGTGCTGTGAGATTAAATTAGCACCTCAAAGCTGCTCCTGCAATTATTTCCCTGGCGTTGTCCAGACCCCAAACCCCATTGTCAAGAATCATCTGTCTGATTCTCCATCTGCTCCTTATCCTTGATCTTTATTCACATGCCTACATCAAGTCTAGGCAGAGAAAAATCACACAGTCAATAAGGTTAAAATGTGTAAGCAAGTAAATGACTCATTTCAGGGCTATGTTTGGTTCTGAACAGACTGAACAGACTAGGTTTCCGGTCTGCAGCTGTGATTGCCATATGAACAGAAAATTAATGATGGTCTGACCCATTCTTAGGTATATTTTTTTAATGTCTTTCATGGTTCCTTTCTTTTTGCTCTGGTTGGCTCTAGTACTTTCAGAAAGAAAAATCTCTTTCAAGGTCACTGTGGAAATAGTGTCACTTCTGGGTGTCATTGGACCATGTGTTATGGTGACTGTTAATGGACAAATCTGGCACAAACCATTTCCCCTCCTCTCTTAGACCTCAACCCAGGGACGTCACTGTGACGGGACATGTATTCTTTCTACCTCTTAGTTGCATTATGAATTCTGTACCTCTTGTAGAAATTGCCTCCTTGGCTTGCGGTGGCACGGCCAAAGCTACACACAATTATCTTAAGCTTTCTGGCTTGGCATGGCAGAAACAAGCATGCAGCCTGTAGTTCTGGGTCTCAGGACAAGTCACTTTCTGCCTTGAGGTGATGGTGATAAACCTGTTGTTCTTTTGCTGTAGCTATTGCCTGTGAAACACAAACACGAGACTCATCACCCACGTGGAGTTTATTGAGAAAGGGGAGAGAAAGGGGGGTAGCTGGTGGCCAACCGAAAGCAGGGGAGAGAGAGAGGGATGTGGCGCGCTTGCTTTAAAAGGGGGGCTTGCGCATGAGTAACTGAGTCCCCTGCACAGCCTGGTAGAGCTTGAGCAGTCAGGTAAAGCCTGAGGTAGGGATGACATGGCCATGAGCACCCCGTCCATCATTGGGGGCGGGGTCAGCAGACTGATGGGTCCCAACAAAACCCCAGTGCTGAGATTGGCATTTGGCTCACACAGTTCCTGCAAACTCTGGCACTAGTGTAGACTGCGAGCCTCATTCCGCTCGCTCCTTCCTCTGCCATGTTTAGGAGTAGATTCCATCCGTTCATGCAGCGGTACCGACACAGAACCTTTGCCTCCAGAGATAGTTTGTTGGGGCTCTTCTCGTGCCTATCTCTGGACCAGGCACAGTGTGTCTCCGTCTCTCCATGTGCAACATGGAGATTGTGAAAGTCAGGAGTGAGACTACAGTTCGCAGGAAGGGGCTCGGCTCCTAGTTCTCCACTATCACGTCATCTTGCTTGGTGTGCACGTCCATTCGTGGCCAGCCAGGAAGATCTTCATTTTCCTATGTGATTTCTGTACACTCTTGGTGGACTTCATTTTGGGTATGGCTTTGGAGGCACAAAAGTCCAACTTTAGCCCTGTCCTGGATACAATGGGTAACTGAACTCTAGAAGCTCACAAGTGGCTGTGGAGTGTTCAGGGTGAGGCAATCTAAATGTCCTATCACAGCGTACCCAGCTGTCCAGATCAGATGGTAAAGATCCCGAGGAACACACACACTCTCGCAGTCTCCAGTCCTCTGCCAGGAGTTTTTGTGTCCTTAGCTAGACATTCCCAAACGTAAAATGATGGGCAGCTTCATCCTCAGCCCATTTATCCAACGTGGCAGGTGTACAGGAGGCGAGGAGTCCTTACCTAGGTAGATGTGCGGGAGGTGAAAGGTTCTCACCCAAGGCTCTGCAGTACATTTTCACTGTGTGACAAACAGCGAAAACTTAATGGTTTATTCAGACTTATAATCGAAGGCACAGCCAACCCATCATGGATGAAGAGCCAAGGCATGGCTGCGGGAATTGCTCTTGGCTATGGTGGCAGGAGCATGAGCCTGCTTGTTCACATAGAGCTCCATCACAAAGCAGAGAAAGGGGAATGGTTCCTCTCCCCCTGTTTCCAAAATCAGTTCAGGACGATGGTGCTGCTTACATTCAGGATGGACCCCGCCCCTCTTTCAGCAAGTGCTCTCACAATCACACCAGAAGGTGTGATTCATTAATGTTGTAGGTGCTTCTTAATCCCATCAAGTTGATAAGATTAACTATGACAAGCTCTTCCCCACCTTGGTCACATTCTACTCAGAGTTCCGAGGAGCCCTGGGCCATCGGAGACCCAGGCTTGCAGCCTTGACCACGGGAGGTCCATGGCACAACTTCTTATCAAGGGGCAAACAGCAGTCCCAAGAGCCTTCACTTAAAGATAGCCTGGCTCTGGCATGGCACCAGGAGTCCAAAAGTCATTAGCAGAGTGTGTTCTGGAGTTGCCCTCTGGTGCTGGTCAGAGTCCTTTCCTGACGCTGTAGGTGTGGACTCCTTCACCAGCCCTTTATTGCAGTAACGCTGGACCAACAGACTTCGCTGTGGACTGGGTCCACTTCTGTTTCCATGTAACGTTGGCAAATTTTAATTTGCTCTGTCTGCCTTAAAGTTTGAACGTTTCAACTTCATGTTCTCTACCAAATACCTAGAACCTCCCACAGTTCAGAGCATATGCAAACCCTCCCTTGTATGGCAGGATGAAGAGGACCCACAGACTACCCCAAGCACAGAATTCTGTGCACCCACACTGAAGGAGGAGGAGAGATTTGCTGTGTCACTTGAGATTCCCATGCTCTCAACACGGATGGTATCTGGATCAGCTTGGCGATGGTATGACCCGTGCATTCTCAAAGGACTCTGCATGTGGCTTCATGGCCTGTCATCAACAGTCTTGGAATTCTTAGTGTATTTTGGGCGAGGGGTCCCATGCATTTATTTTTCAGTGGGCTCTGTAAGGGTAGTAGCTAATCCTGATATGACTTACTCAGCGGCTAAAGCATCCTTTTAAAATTTAGATTTGAATTTAATTTTATTTTGGTTGTGAGCCTAGTCTTTAATGGCTGAGCCATCTCTCCAGCCCTTAATTTAATTAAAAAAACACACACATTTATCTGATTTGTTTTGTACATCTTTGTGTGTGAGTACTCGCAGAATCTAATATTGGACCCCTGGAAATGGAATTGCATCCGTTTGTGAGACACCCAACAAAGGCTCTGGGAACCCAACTAGCGTCATCCGGAACCCAAGAACATCCATGCTCTTAACTACTGAGTTACGTTTCCAGCCCCTGAAGCATGCTTAAAACAATTTCTTTTTTCCTGTTCTTGAGATTATAACATTGCAGAAGAAGCATGCTTGTAAGGAAGGATTAGAAACCTAGGCTTGTATTTGTATTCATTGTTGTTTTGTTTTTGAGGCAGGGTCATAATGTGTAATCAAGGCTGACCAGGAACTAACTACGTAGCCTTGCATGAACTTGGACTCACAGAAATCCCCCTGCCTCAGCCTCTTGAGTACCAAGATGACAGGTATGTACCACACCAAGTGGACCTTTTAATTTAACTATATACTAGAAATAAGTGAACTGGAGTTGGAATTGCATTTCTTAAAGCAATAAACTTTGTTTTTTAGGGAAGTTTTAGGTTTGCATCAAAATTGAAAGTGAGGAGCGTTCCCATAGCCTCTCCCTTCCCACAGTGCCCCGGCTCCCAGAATAGAATGGCACATTGGATGTCAACCCCATAAGTGAAACTGCATGGGTGCATTGTCACCCACAGCCCATTGTTGCATTAGGCTTCACTTTTGGTGTGTGCCCTATGCGTTTGCAAGCTTGTGTGACAGCACCCCTGTTGGGCACTCACGCAGGGTGCTCTCCCGCTGTGAACACTACCTTCTCTGCTTACCGCTTTCTCCTCCTTCTTCCCCCAGTCTTCATAACTACAGTCCCATCCTCTTCCTCTTGGAGTGTGTAATCTAGTGGGGCTCCCACAGTCTGTCGCCCTTTCTGGTTGATGTATTTCACTCACAAGGGTGAGTCACATTTCCCCCGTGTCTTCTTATGAACCTGCTTATTCAGTCTCCCCAGTGGAGTGGATGAGGGGAGCTCAGTCGATAGAGCCCTTGCCCAGCCTGTGGGAAGCTCTGGTTTTCATCCTCAGCACCAAATAAACCAAACCCAGTGTCAACCCAGTACTCTGGAGGTGGAAACAGGAGAATCAGAAATTCAAGGTCCTTGATGACGCAATGAACACATCACAGTTCTGGAAAGTGTGGACCTTTTCTCAAAAGCACCAACCAGACAAACAAAACCAAATCCAGAAGAACCAAGACACTACCGCCACCAAGAGACAAACAAAAACCTAACACTAACACCATCTCTCATGTCCCCACAAATATGTGACTGCGGGCAGGTGAAGCTGTGATACCTTCCCCGGCCGAGCACACTCTCTTTCAGAGCACACTATCCTTGTCTGGCTTGGCATTCCACCCCCTTGTCAGCGAATGTAGCCTTTTGGTACCCAAACACAGAGCCTGCAAGCTTGCTCTCCAGTACCCACGTGACCACCTTTGATGTGAAGGTTTTGTGGCATGGTCAGTGTCGGCCCTGGAAGAGGTAAAGGGAATCTCTAAGTAGAGTCTTGAACTGCTAGGGAAATAAAACATTGCATGACTGTTCTTCACGGGCCCCCTTACAGCTAATGCTGCCAAAAACAGCTGTAAAACAATATGGCCAATGTTTCTGTGCCATCAGTCTCTGCCAGCAAACTAGGGAGGGATGAGAACATGGCCCCGACACACCCTGGTATAATAAGGACACAGAAGCCCGACTTCCTAAAGACCCTCGGGAGCTGTCGG